ATGACAGTTGGGGTCATGTGATTCACTTTACAGCCGTATTACTAATGTAAGAAGCGCAGTGACTCACTCCACATCTGTGGCTAACTCAGGTCGCAAAATGGGGCAAAAAGACACCTTAAACAGCCGTCTCAATTAGCACCAGAAATTTATGGCTCACTTGTGGTCGTAAGTTGAGGACTGCCGGTAAAGTTCAACGTTACTTTTTAGCCTCCTAATCTTGTATTTTCTTGATAATGTTGGTCACCGTCTTCGTTAATTGGAAGTTCTGGGGGACATATTCCTAGCCTAGCTTGGAGACAGCTAATCTATGGCTTATATTATTATTTTTTTCGTTAATGCTTTGTACTTTCCTAAAACAGAGCTCTGAAAAGACATTACTTCCTTATTTGAGACAAAAAAAAACACCAAACCATCAGCTTGGTGTCCTCAGCCGTCGCAATACCCCCGAGCAGCAATGAATTATTCACTGTTTAAATGCTTAAGTGTCAAGATTATAATTAACCTATGATCTGAGTTGTGATGGTATGCGCTGCGCACATTCTGTGCCAAAATAGGGGAATTGTGTGACCTTTAAATGGAATATGACAAACTCTTACTTTGTGCGCTGATTTCGAGTAATTCTGTACTTTGTAACTGATTGGAACAGGCAAAATGCCCATTTCCTGCCTGGCTGAGGTTGGTATCATGGGATATTGTTCAAATAATTTTATTCTAAGCCTAGCCCAAAAGTTGGAGGCATTGGTGCATCAGAAATAATGGAAGATTGGAATTAAATAAGTAGCAAAAGTGAATTCTGCCCCTAAAAATTACATCGGCCTTTATTTTGAAAATAAAAGCCGGGATGACTAAAATAGTGACAATAATCTCATAATCTTTCAATAATCTTCCCTGCTTAGTTTTTTGTGGCACCGTTGCCTGTTAACACATCAACACTCTGATGATTAATTGGACTGAGAATGAGCAAAAGGAATCTGTTGTTAGTTGCGAAGTCGTATCTGACCCATCGCGGCCCCATGGACAACGTTCCTCCAGGCCTTCCTGTCCTCTACCATCTCCCGGTGTCCATAGAAGCTCATGCTGACTGCTTCAGTGACTCCATCCAGCCCCCTCATTCTCTGCCGTCCCCTTCTTCTTTTGCCCTCCATCGTTCCCAGCATGAGGCTCTTCTCCAGGGAGTCCTTCTTCCTTCTCATTAGGTGGCCAAAGTCTTTGAGTTTCCTCTTCAGGATCTGGCCTTCTAAAGAGCAGCTAGGGTGGATCTCCTCTAGGACTGACCGGTTGGATGGCCTTGCAGTCCAAGGGACTCAATGCAGGAGTCTTCTCCAGCACCAGAGTCCAAAGGCCTCCATTCTTTGGTGCTCAGCCTTATGGTCCAGCTTTCGCAGCCATCCATTGAGAGCCGAAGTGGCGCATTGGTTAAATGCAGCACTGCAGGCTACTTCAGCTGACTGCAGTTCTGCAGTTCGGCTGTTCAAATCTCACCGGCTCAGGGTTGACTCAGCCTTCTATCCTTCCGAGGTGGGTAAAATGAGGACCCGGATTGTTGGGGGCAATATGCTGACTCTGTAAACCGCTTAGAGAGGGCTGAAAGCCCTATGAAGCGGTATATAAGTCTAACTGCTATTGCTATTGCAACTGGGAAAACCATAACCTTGACTAGACCCACTTTTGCTGGCAGGGTGATCTCTCTGCTTTTTAGTAGGCTGCCTAGATTTGCCTGTTGGGAATTTGTTGGGAAGCTCAAATATATGTATATTTCAGAAAGATACATTGTAGGGTGTAAAAGGAAACAGAAGGGGAAACAAAGAAGGCATGGTTTTGATCAGCAGGGTCATTAGCTGTAAGGATTAAAGCTGGCTCCATCAGGTTTTCTTCTGGTTAGCAGTACAATGGACACAATTAGATTTCTTTGTCTGCTTTTTTTAAAAGAGTTGCGGTACCCTTCCTGCTCAGTTTCACAGATGGGATTCTCAATCCTCCAGTTCCTTGGAACTAACACTGTTCTATATTTCTCATTCTAGACACCCGGAAACAAGACAGTCGAAGGCTTTAAGTCCAGTGAGAAATACCATAGTCCTCCAGAACAGTGCTTCTCAACCTTGGCCCACCTGAAGATGCGTGGACTTCAACTCCCAGAATCCCCCAGCCAGCTCTGCTTCAGGTGACCAAGGTTGAGAAGCACTGCTCTAGAAGCATGGTTGCCATCACAGGTCCTGCAAAAGCTTTTGAGGTGTTTGCTCTACGTAGAATCCCTGGAGCTAAAAATTGCAGGGATTATATAATTCCTTGTGTGAAACGTACATCGTTCCTCGTTACTTAAATCTTCTCAAGGTGTATCCAATCAGCAGTTCTACAAACACATGCGGGCTGCAAATCTCCTGGGTTTTTTTTTTAATACCATTTGGTATCTCCTGGCCCTTCCCTCTATAATATTAGTACAGTTATGTGGGCATATGTTCCATACAGCCAGAGGTTCGTTGGAGCCGCAGGCCAAGAGACGGGGAAAGAGGGTGTATTTTGAAGCTAGCTCCTCTTGCTGCCTTTTTGCCAATTTTCTGGCTTAGCGTATGAAAATCCATTGGAGCTTATCGTGTGATTTGGCTTGCTGTGGTGTCAACTTCAACATCTGTCAATTGCCCCTGTACATTCCCTTACCTCCCCCCCCCCTCTGGTATTTGAGAAGGGCAAACAATGGTACAGAGGCAGCCCCATCATGATACAGGGAGCTTCGACTTACGACAGTTACCATTTAAAGTCACAACAGCACCAGAAAATGTTTCATAGTTATGATCTTCGCAGCCTGCCTGCACAACCACATGGTCGAATTTCAGGTGCTTGGCCACTGGTTCGTACTTACGACCATTGCTGCGTGTTCCGTGGTCACGTGATTCCCCTTTTCCGACCTTCCGACAAGCAGAGTCAACGTTAAAGCTGGATTCACTTAAGAGCCGTGTGAACTAGCTTTTCAGCTGCGGTGATTCCCTTAACAACTGCGCGAAGGAAACTCGTAAAACGGTGCAAAGCTCCCTTAACAAAGGTCTCACTTAACCAAGTAGGTTTGGGGCTCAACTTGTGCCCGTAAGTCGAGGACTACCTGTGTGTGTGTGTCACATTTCGTTGTCGAAGGATTGTAGCCTCGCCGAGCAGCTTGGCAAATTTGAACAACTGGGAAGGATACAGGCACTTCAACAAAAAACTGGTCCTGAATTGAGGATTCACTCCCAAGCCAAGGGCACCCATTCCTCACCGGCCTTCAAAAAAATAATAATAGAAAGTTCCTTTCCTTCCCTCCCAGGCCGATCTTGGCAGCTGCAGCTGAGGTCGCTCAGCCTTGCAGGGAGAAAAGTTACTCAAAGAAATGACCATATTTTTCGGTGTATAAGATGCACCGGAGTATAAGACACACCAAGATTTTGAAGAGGTAAATTTTTAAAAAGGGTTTTGCACTCTGCAGGCCTCCCAAACCCTCTGCACACCTCGTTTTTTTGTGAACAATGGGGCATGCAGAGAGTTTGAGAGGCCTGCANCTTGGTGGGCGTGGACCAGGGGAAGGATACTGCAAAATCCCCATTCCCTCCCGATCAGCTGGGACTCAGGAGGCAGAGAATAGATGGGGGCGTGGCCAGCCAGAGGTGGTATTTGCCGGTTCTCCGAACTACTCAAAAATTTCCGCTACCGGTTCTCCAGAACTGGTCAGAACCTGCTGAATATCACCTCTGGTTACAACTAGTAAAACTGGAACAGGTTTACTGGGGCATCCAGAGACCTTGGCTGCCTACCAGCTTCTGTCCTAGTGCAAGAGTATGAAATGTCCCTTGGTTTGCTTTCATCCATTGCCGTAAGTAGGTCTCATCTCCAGGATTCGGCATGGTTAAACTTGCTTGACTAGGCAACTCCCCCGAGCAAATTCTCACTTGGAACGCCCAGACTGGTTGAGGCTGAAACTCCATGTGGGCGTGTGCACTTGCAGCACACTCTTTCCTAAAGACTAGACCCGTGACAGCGAACCTATGGTGTGCATGCCCAAAGTGGCACACAGAGCCATGTTGCTTGGCATGCACAGCATCGCCCGTTCCTCTTTCGGGTTTCTGGCACGCATGTTCCCATGATCAGTTGGCCTTCATGAATGTGGCAGTGCTAGAAACTGGAAGAGCTGGTCTTCCGTTTTCCGACGTGAGCATGAATGCCGGCCAGCTGATGGTGGCAAACACATGCGCGCCAGTAAACAGAAGGCTAGCTGGCTGGTGAGCATGTGTGTGCTGGACACTGGAAGTTCATTTTCTGGTGCCTGCATGCCCCCTGGGCAACTCTTCCCGGTTGCGGCCCAGATGAGTACGTGCATGCATGCAAAGCAGGGGTGAAATTCAGCAGGTTCTGGAGAACCGGTAGCGGAAATTTTGAGTAGTTCGGAGGACTGGCAAATACTACCTCTGGCTGTGTGGGGAAGGAATGGAGATCCTTCCCCTGCCACGGCCACAGAACCAGTAGTAAAAAAAAGATGACTTTTCCCCACGGGTGCAAAGCATATGCAGATGTGCCGAAAAGGTTCGCCATCACTGGGCTAAACGGACATTAGAAGAACCACATCTGTGGGATCTGGAAAGATGGTGGACTTGTCCTCTTTTTTTCCACCTTCAACCCTTGTTCCAGAAGAAGTTGGCCTTCCCCAAGCACCCCTCAAAACCCAACAGGTAAAAAGCAGCCCAGCTGCTGAAAGAAAAGGGCCCCCCTATTCAGCTGGGTCGGCTTTGCAAGAGGTGGCAACCCGCAGACCATCCCCGCCCGAAGGATGCTCTGGTCCAGAAGAAGCTGCATCCTTGGCGGCGTTGCCTAGGAGACGCCTAGCAGGGACCGCCTCCGCGCGGCACGACCCAGGTGGCGGTCACGTGACCGCGACGTCACTCCGCCTCCCCTCCCTCCGGCGAGGGCGGCGCGCCGCACGACTTGGTCCCTCGCCGGCCGCCGTCGCCCCATTGTTAAGTGGGCGGCGCCGGAAGCCGCCGTGCGTGCGTGTGGCTGCGTTACGTCGCGTGAGGTAGCTCCGGCCAGGGTCGCCTCGGCGTTTCTCTCCCCGCCCCATAGTCATGGCGGCGGAGCAGGAGGCCTTGAAGGGCGGCGGAGGCGGAGGCGGCGGCAACAGCGTCCGCAACCGGGGAGGCGTCCAGCGCGTCGAGGGGAAACTCCGCGCCAGCGTGGAGAAGGGAGACTACTACGAGGCGCACCAGATGTACCGGACTCTCTTCTTCAGGTGCGTATAGGGAGGGCGGTCCTCCTCCTCCTCCTTCTTCCAGACTCTTCCATTGGCACACCCGAGCGCCGGCAGCACGCCATTGGCTGTGCCGCGTGTCCTTCTCGGGCCCTCGAAGCCCCATTGGTCGAGGAGGAGGAGGCGGGGGAGCGGGCACGCCGGTCTGGCCAAGGCAGGGGTGGGAAGGTGCTGGTGGGGCGTGGGAGGAGGGGAGGAAGGACTCCCTAGCCCATTCTCCCCTCCCATGGCCGGGCTTGGCTATGCTTCGGATAGAGAGGGGTGATAGGGATCCCTAATAGGGAATTGGTGGGGGGGGGGAATGTTGGTGCAGCGCGATGGGTGGACTTCAACTCTCAAGGGGGATTCTGGGAGTTGAAGTCCACCCATTCTAAATGCAGTTCTATTCCATTGAAAGTCTTTTAAGAAGATGTTGGATAACCATTTGTCTGAAACGGTATAGGGTTTCCTGCCTAGGCAGGGGGATGGACTAGAAGACCTCCAAGGTCCCTTCCAACTCTGCTATTGTATTGCATTAAATAGAATAGAGTTCTTTATTGGCCATGTGTGATTGGACACACAAGGAACTTGTCTGGTACATCTGCTCTCAGTGTACCTAAAAAGACGAGATACATTCGTCAAGAATGGTAAGGTACAACAACACTGAATGATAGTCACAGGGTACAAAGAAGCAATCAGGAAACAATATCAGTATCAGTATAAATCGTAAGGACACAAGCAGCAAAGTTACAGTCCTGCGGTCATAAGTGGGAGGAGAGTGCCCCAAAGGGACACCTGGGCCCAAACATGGAAGCTTATTCTACAAACTGTCATGCTCTCTAGAGCAGGGGTCTCCAATCTTGGCTACTTTTAAGACTGGTGGACTTCGCTGGCTGAGGAAGTCTGGGAATTGAAGTCTACAAGTCTTTAAAGTGGCCACGGTTGGAGACCCCTAAGCCTAGTGCAAACCCAACTGCACACCTTGTGGGGCAGGGAGGGGGGCTTTCCTTTTCAACAAAAGGGAGATGAGGTCGTTTTTGGGATGTTGAGGCCACACCAATACAGGACCGATGTATGTGAGTATGTAGGTGGATGATTGATTGATTGATTGATAGATAGATAGATAGATAGATAGATAGATAGATAGATAGATAGATAGATAGATAGATAGAT